TCTTCTTCTCCTTCTTCTTCTTCTTCTTCTCCTTCTTCTTCTTCTCCTTCTTCTTCTTCTCCTTCTTCTCCTTCTTCTTCTTCTTCTTCTTCTTCATTTTTTCCTTCATCGTCATCATCATCACCATCATCATCATCATCATGACAGACCCCACAATTGAAGAGCCCTTCCTCTCCAACGTCAAACCTCCCATTGGAACATATCGAAGTCATCTGCCCCAACATCGGGGCCGTCAATGTTTACATGCAGGTGTGCAATCAGTCGTTCATTCATTTATTCATTCATTCATTCGTTCATTAGTTCATTCGTTCATTCGTTCATTCATTCATTTGTTTATTCATTCATTCATTCGTTCATTCATTCATTCGTTCATTCGTTCATTCGTTCATTCGTTCATTCGTTCATTAGTTCATTCGTTCATTCGTTCATTCGTTCATTCGTTTATTCATTCATTCATTCGTTTATTCATTCATTCATTCGTTTATTCATTCATTCGTTCGTTCATTCATCCTGTTTACCATCTATCAATCCAAGAGGCTTTTATGTCTAAGTCGATAAGTATTAATGATAATTCCGATAAATAACCGTAATAATAATAATAATAATAATAATAATAATAATAATAATAATAATAATAATAATAATAATAATAATAGTAATAATAGTAATAATAATAATAATTTCTTTGCGATGTTTTTATAAGATATGTTGCTCCGAAATTTTTATTCTATAGTTACTTTGAAAATACTTTCATCATCATCATCATCATCATTATCATCGTCATCTTCATCATCATCATCATCTTCATCATCGTCATCATCACCGAATTCAGGGTTCAAGGTCATCAAAAGAGGTCATCATAATGACCGTCCATGATTTAGGATGCGATCGTTAGTATGCTAATGCACGTACACACACACACACACACATACACAAACATACACACACACACACACATGTAAACAGAAATAAACTATGAATTAACAAAAAAACAAACATATATATATATATATATATATATATATATATATATATATGAATATTTATATGGCGCTAATTAGAAAGTTTTTCAAAAGCGCTTACAAATAAAATAACATACAAAATAGTCGAAGACAAACGTCCATCAAACAAATAAATCAAACATTAAATAAACATTAGATCAGTAAAAAAACACTACAGCGAAAATAAATATGTTTTCAACATCTTCTTAAATTTCGCAACACCCAGAGCAGGGTCTCGTAGGTCTTTGGGAAGACCGTTCCAGACTTTAGGACCAAACACGGCAAAGCTTCTAGCTCCAAGTTTCGTTTGAGCCAACGGGACCGACAGATAGTTTAAATCGTCCGAACGCAGGCCAAGGGAAGATGATGCTTTCGACTGACATTTGTTCTCCAAATACTCTTGTGCCGAATTATTCACACTCTTGAACACTATTGTGCAAACTTTAAAAATTATTCGCTTGTCGACAGTCAACCAATGAAGCTGAGCAAGAATCGGAGATACATGATCAAATTTATACACACCATGAACAATTTTTGCTGCACGGTTCTGAATAGACTGTAACATTCTAATAGATTTATCGGGTAAACCATAATACATACTGTTGCAGTAGTCCAACCGAGAGTAGATGAACGCATGCATTAAACCTTCAATCGTGCTTGTGTTCAAGGGTTTTCTTATAGAACGTATTTTATATAATTGAGCAGCGCACACTTTAGTTAGTAGTTTGATGTGATCAACAAACGTCAATCTTGAGTTAACGATCATTCCCAGATTAGTGGCATTACTGCTACACTCAATATTATGTCCATCTAGAGTAACGAAATCAATCTTGACTAGCGACAGCTGCTGCCATGTGCCTACTTTCATCAGTTTAGTTTTACCCTGGTTGAGTTTCAGTCGATTTGATAACATCCACACACTCACCTCAGCCAAATAATAATGCACTAATCTAGTAACAGCATCTTGAAGTTTATCCAACCATGGGACATTCAAATCACATCGATTCTCAACCATATGCAATGGTGCAACCTTATTGACAATATTACAGACTGTGCTATTAAACAGTTCAAACATCTCATCAACGTCCATGCCATCCAGGGTGTGCTTATAGGGGGATGGTGAATAAGCCTAATGAATTCATCGTCCCTCACTCGCTTCCACGACCGAACCATCTTCATAATTCGTACAGGTTTTTTAAACATGAAAGGCAGACAAACTTTAACTAGGCCATGATCGGAATGAATTCCACTTGGAAGAACTTGAGTTTTAGAGACAAGAATATCACAAGGAATGGCAAACATACATACTCACGTTTATAAACACACACACATACATACAAACAAACAAACAAGCATACATGCAAACAAACTCCCACACATACACATATAACCACAAATATAGGAACTCAATATCATGATGCAAAGAAAATGGATGTTTTAGCTAGAAAATCTACCAAAAATTTGATAGCCATTAAGAGGCCGTCAGCCACATTAGCACAAAATTTTGCTCCTTCAGTGAAATTTTTTGCCTTCCCCGCTAAAAATTTGAACGTTTTAAAAATTTTGGCTCTCACCAGTCAAAGTTGTCTAGATCTACCACTGTACAAACATACATACAAACAAACAAACATACATACAAACATTCATACATACAAACGAACAAACATACATACATACAAACTTACGTTCATACAAACAAACAAACAAACATACGAACATTGTCTCTCACCAGTCAAAGTTGTCTAGATCTACCTCT